CAGTGTCCTATGACATTTATGTACCAAGTTTCATTGAAATGTGACAAATACTACTTGAAATATCAAAAGCTGAAAATTAATTAATTATGCAAATTAGGTAATTAATATCTACTGATATTACCCTAAAAACTATCAGGTTTGTGCAGTGTCCTATGACATCTATGTACCAAATTTCATTGAAATGTGATGATTACTACTTGAAATATCAAAAGCTGAAAATTAATTAATTATGCTAATTAGGTAATTAATATCTACTGATATTACCCTAAAAACTATCAGGTTTGTGCAGTGTCCTATGACATCTATGTACCAAGTTTTATTGAAATGTGATGATTAGTACTTGAGATATCAGTGGAAAAGCCGAAAATTGATTAATCATTATGCAAATTAGGTAATTAATATTGCACAGATTTTTACCCGAAACTAATCAAATCTGCGCATTAGTTTGGAGCATCTGTGTGCCAAGTTTCATCAAAATCCAATGAGTGGTTCTTTAGATATCAGTGGAACAGTCATGGAACAGCTAAAAATCAGCTAATTATCATGCAAATTAGATAATTAATATGCATGGATTTTTACCAAAACCTAATCAAATCTGCGCATTGGCCCAGAGCATTTATGCACCAAGTTTCATCAAAAACTGATGTATGGTTCTTGAGATATCAGTGGAACAGACGGACGGACACACACACACACACATACACACACACCCACACACACACACACACATACAGACACACCAACTGCAAAGACTCCCTTTTTGTGCTTCGCACAAGAGAGTCAAAAATAGCATAGCTCCCCTACACACCTATGTTACTGTGCTCAGGAGAACCATTAGTATTGCCCAGACCATTGCCAAAGGTAAGGCATGCAGTTGTATGCAATGTTTACCTACTACACTGTATATTTTATGCTTAGCTCTGTGAATGAGTTTGACAATCTCGCAATAGCATAGCTCTCCTAATAACTCACTTTACTATGTTCAGTAGAGCCACTTTTTAACTTCCAACCATTTCCCTTGAAGGCAAGAGCTGCAGTGTCTACCTACTACACTGTATACTTACATGCTTAGCTCTGTGAATGAGTTTATCTGGTAATCCTGCTACTGCAGCTATATGATGCGCATAGCTACATGTAGCATGTCCATCTATTAACTGGTATAGGAATACAAGATCATTGCCATCCTGCAATGCTTCCAATGTCTGTTATCAAAGGATATAAAGTAGATTAGATGTGGTTATTGTTATTTATTAATATTTATTCATTTAATCAAAACAGTTTCATTGTTGTAACAAAATGGTGACAACCAAAGGAAAAGTAGAAAAAACAAACAAACTTGATACAGAAACACAAAGACGAGCACAAAAAAGTCGAAGGATGAAATCTCCTAAGATTCGCCTTGTTTAATTTCCAAGCCAGTTTAAAAATGTTTTTACCACACTAATGCAAACAAGCAGCTCTTTACTAGAACTGAATTCAGTGAATAGTTCTATGATTGATCTGGGGATAGACTGGTCACCATTCAAGTTGGGGAAATGTTGTACATGTATCATGTTTTAATGTAAAGAACTAGGGCTCTATGACTGGGATTCTGCAAAAAGAACTTGTTAGCATAGGTGACTTGCACTTCAACAAATCACCAGGAGCACAGTTAAAATCCATAGTGATATGCTTAAAGACTCGGGTATGCATGGCTTATCAATATTACAAAGGAAGCTATTAGAATAATAACTATACCTGAAAACTGAGTTGTGATGAATTAGGTAGTAGACGTTGTTGTATAATAGTATGGAAATGCGATGATACAAATACATGCGGACATTGAGTATTCATTTGTAGCCAGTGTTGCAGTGACGCACATAATAATGCAATACCGTCCACAATGTCTGTCCCTTTACCAAACTCATCTATGATGACTAATGATCTCTCAGTCGCACATCTCAATGCTACAGATACCTGCAAAAATAATATAATTGTAGTTGTGACAATCTTAAAGGTGTAAAAATATTCAAACAAACAAAGTAAACTTTACATCTTGCCACTTGAGGGTGTACTCACCTGGTTAAGGTCAATCATGAATGTTGATAATCCAACAGAAACTGACTCTCGAGTGTGAATTCTTGTAAATATTCTATCAATGATACCAATACTCGCTGATTCTGCTGGTACAAAGCTGCCAATATGAGCCATGAATACTATCAAACCAACCTGTATTATAATTAACATGAGAAAATAAAGTTCAATAGAACAATAATATTTTTGTAGGTGATTGAATTAATAATAATTGAGAATTATTAGATTGGGTTTTAGTTTTATTTGTGGAATTTATAGATGCCAATGGCAGTCATTAAAAAACAGAAAGTGTGACAGCTGGAAATAAACCAAAGACTCAAAAGCGTAACTAGTTTATTTCTTCTGAAAAAGAAACATCAAGGTAGATAATGTATTCTTAATGTGGTCCTGCCAGGAAAAAAAAATATTGTTTTAACAGAATTTAGGTGGTCCAACAAGTAGAATTATTGTTTTTGACACAATCTGAATCTTTTCTGATGAAGTACCATTGCTGCATGACATGAGCCAACTTTGATGTGTCTTCACTCTGTTTTGTTTGATTCATGTTCGCTCCGAATCTGAACTGATAAAGCTAGAACCATCCAAACTGATCTAATAATTGCTTGATTTAATCATTACACAAGTATGGTGTATTTTTTTCATATGAAGAAATAACAAAAATATTATCAAGAAATATTGATGTTTGAAAAATAACGAATACCTGTTTCATGTAGACACTTTTACCACTGGAATTTGGACCAGTTAAGAATTTCATTTTGCTGTGGTTTCCACCAGACGCTGTAGAATTGGGCACAAATGGATTAACACAAAGTTCTTGTAGTGGATGACGCCCACCTTGGATTATTAGCTGATTATCATTGGTTAGTTCAGGTCTGATATAATTACTGTCGCTGGCACACACAGCTAAGGATATCAGACTGAAAGTAACAAGGTAAATATAAATATATTACTGCACACTATTATTTTTGCAGCTAGGTATTTTCACAATTTGATGATTTAATGGCATTTAGGCCAGACTTTTATTATCCCTTGTTTCGCGACCCCGTCGAATGAACAGAAGGTGAAATAGAAATAAAAATACAATTTTATTTCAGCGTAATTTCTCGTGCCCGCCAACTTCTATGTGCAAAAATAGAAGTTATTAAAAACTTATTTTTATCTTCATTTTGTTTCAGCCCGCCGCATAACAAACCCAAGTTGCATTTTCGTGGGAGTATCATAATCAAAGTACCGAAGTCTTGCGCAGATGAGAAACAAGGTTATACATGGAATAAAATTTTTATTTCATTTCTTCTCTTCGATCAATGATCTCACTTTCAATTCTTTGAGAATCACGCAAATCTAATGGAAAAAAAGAATTAATTTCATTTATTTTTTCACCCTCCTCAAAAAAATAGCCTTATAAAAACTTGAGAAACAAGGTATAAAAAAAGTCTGGCCTTACAAATTTTTGCTGAAAAGGCTTTTTGGATGTTTTGTATGGAATTTATTTTCACTGATTTTTGATTAGTTTAATGTGAAATATAGGAAAAAAGTATATATTCGCTGGATTTTATTTTCACAGAATCATCCCTTCAGCGAAAATAGCGAAAATAAATTCCAAGCGAAAATAAAGTATTCTACAGTAGTGTTAATGTTTATTATGTATTCCTATTTACTATATACTATTTCAAATATGGAATGATTACGCATGTAAGTGTCGTCTAAAAATAAAAGCAAACATGGCTTACACCAGGGTTTGACAAAGAAGTTCGCTGATTCTGTTCTAAACTTTTTAGATTTCGGTATTCTCATGATGTATTCTTGGAGGGAAACATGTATAATAATAACGTTATTATGAGGAAACCTCAAAGTATGCACTCAGACAGTACGTCGTCGCATCGGCCTCCGATGCGCATTGGTCGATACTCATATAGTTTTACAGTTTCAAAACTCTCAGTATTATTTAATTAATTACCAGTCCAGCTCCGCAGCATGCTCCATGACAGCAAATAAAACCTGACTATGTTCTAGCACAGTGTCCTGCAGTCTGTGCATAATACTTGTTTCATGGTCTGTAAAATAAGTCATAAATATTCAACAATTAATGTTGTATTATCTACTAAAATTAGTTAGCGTATTAGTCCTTAGTGTATACAGTACATTGAGCCAAGAACCCAAAATAAAGAGGTATGGCATTCGTCACCTGCGCATGTGCGAGAATCGTGTCCCAGGTGATGATAACAACATATGCTATAAACGCAAAGACTCATGGCAACGCAATGGCCATCAGTTCGTAATGTTTGATACAATCACGTAATAACACAACCGTATATTATGAGTGTATAATACTATTATAATACTTGTGTGCAAACGTTTGACAGAATCAGGCAATATAATAGTGAGAGATCGGCATGGACACGAAGGAAAACAAAATGGCCATCAGTCAGCCACTTTATTTATTCCTAATATGCATGATAGTTATATAGAGTTTGAATGAAATCATCTGAGAAATGGCATAATCAAGTATCAGAAATTAGGAAATTTGAGAACCAAAATCGTTGTTAGTCAAATTTGATCAAATGGTAAAGAAAATCTATGTGCACATGTAAATCATACATTTTTTTTTTTTATTTAAAGTAATTTTTTGTATACCACTTTTGAAAATTGATACCAAAAAACTGTAAATTGCATTCTCCTACATTTGTGAAGATCTTTCACCTGGAACTTTTTCTTTAAGTTTGAATGTGATTTGAGAAATGCATGCATAGAATCCAAATTAATAGTCCCTGATTCCGAACTTTGACCAAAACCAGGACTAATCGCTAAATTATAAGTAATCTATTACAGTAAATGCTTATGCAATGCTGAGGCCCACTAAGTACATAATGAACAGAGAACTACTAGTAACCATATGCCCACATAAATGAATTTGTTTAATATCATGGCCTAAGAATGAGATGACAGTGAATTACCTGTTATTTCACACTGTGTATCTCCTAACATGGCATCTAATTCTGAAATATAAATTTAAAGAGTACTGTAAACATTAGCATACTATACTACTGTGAAATTTATTACTGTATACAGTGTCCGAAATTAAAACTGTTCCATTGGTCCGAGACTGGTTGGATTTGGTACACAGATACCTTATGGTGATTCCAGTTTGTGGTGCATGTTCTTTGTGTATTTTTGCTAAAATGCATTACAGGGAGTCTCAGAAGTATCGGGG